AGTTTTTCATAGGTCCTGGTCATATGGTGGATTTCCTCCCCATAGAGGTACGATATTTGTTTTCTGAGGTTTTTGCGGGTGTTTGTATGTAGGTCTTTGGTTGTTCAGGTTTTCTCCCGCGTAAAATTGGAAGTATCTTGGCGACATTCGTCATCTTCAGGCTGGTGTCTTCAGCTTCGTGCTTCTAGGAGTAATGGGTGATCGCAGCTGTTTCTTCCTTTTAACTGCCAGTGGGGTTTGAACTGATTGGGTGGGAGCTTGGCTGTGTTCTGATTGGGTGGAGGTGTGTTCTGATTGGTAAAGGAGCTTGGCTGTGCTCTGATTGGATGGGGGGTTGGCTGTGCTCTGATTGACTGGGGGAGTGTTCTGTTTGGGTGGGGGCTTTGTTGTGCTCAGGTTAGTCTGAGTTGCAGGGGGATTTGAGATGGTGAGCTTCGTTGCTGTTGTTTGGCTTCGTGTTCGTGGTCCCTTCTACAATACACATAATATTCCGACAGTAACATTCTAATATTTCCACATATATTCTATTTCTTAGTCTAATAGATCATTGATTAGTACCAATTCTTCTCTTATCACAAATCTCTCTTATTTCTTCTTCCACAACAAAATAGTTATCCTACTTAAAATAAAAATATTACTCTACTCTATTTTAGATATATAATCTATCAGTCAATCTATTTCTATAGAAAAAAATCATTTCAGCCCATGAGGTAAGATTTAAATCTCGTCCAAATAATTATCATGTCTAAAACAAGCATATTGTTACGCAAAATATCATCTTGCTAACTTCACATACTCAGTTAATTGTTAAATCAGTCCAGATCTCTAAAGCCTTTTTAACCCATTAAGTAAAATTTTAAATCACATTTTTAAATCTAACTCTGGCTTTCTTTCTGTGCCAGGCCGATTTCCATAATACCGCATCTGTATAATCAAATCTCAGTATTTGAGTACGGGTATTTATCAACACATCAATCTGGTCTAAGTTGTCTTCTCTTTCTTTCTTCCAGTATTATCTGGATAGTATAGTCAATTTTGTTCCATGGGCTTCCGGTTCTGGTTCGCGGCATCGCTAGTCATGCGGGGAGACTTGTCCTCTTGCCGGCTAGCTTTCCCTCCGTCGGTGGAGCCTTATACGGCTCCAAAGTCACCCTGGAGGGTGCGACTTCTGACGAGGAGGCTGCTGTCCAGCTGCGGAGGAGCGGCGGCTCCTCCAGCTGTCCGGACGATCTCTGAGGGCCGAAGGAGAAGAAAATTGGCCAGTAAAATGGCCGATCGCCCTGCCGCTTCAGACTGTAAGTCAGAGAACAACTAAGCTGTGAGTGGCCCCGTGGTGAACCCGGGTGAGAACTTTTTTTGCAACTCTCTCTTTTCTATTTTTTTTTCTTTTGTTACCTGTAAGAGCTTTTGGAATTACTTCCCTGGCTTGGAAAGGCAGCTTCTACTTTTTTGGGGGAAGAAAGGCGTTCTATCAATATAGAAAAAGACTATATTTTACTGTTATCTATATTTTTTTCTTTGGATATAAAAAAGGAAAAAAAGACAGAAAAGGTTTTCTACTCTCTTGTCAAGAACTGGATTATTTCTTTTCTTATACATTATACTCTAAAAGGTAGAAAAAAGGAATTGATTTCTGGAAAAGACCTTTGTTACTCACTGAGGTCATCTAGTGGCGACATTTTAATACTGCACTTTCTGGTTATTTTCTTAAAGATGGAACACTGAATTTCAAAATATGTTTGAGGGAAAGATAAGCTGTGCAGCTGTGGAAACTGTGGGGGTGGATATGCTTTCTATTAAATATAGTCCCCACAAAAAAGAAAAAGAGACCTTCTTTTAAGCATTAGCATTAAAATGGAGAAACCTCAGCCACAACTGGAGTTTGCATTTATTTTGAAAAAGATTTATGAGACCACTGAAGAAATATGTGCTACAATCTGTACTTTAGAATTAAGACCTAGAGATTTTACTACATTGGTCCAAATGGATGTCCAGGCTACATCTGACTATGGTAAAAATCAAAATATACCAGAAGAGGAATCTACATAGATAGAAGAGGAACTTATTTCACCTGACAACCTTGTCTTCTGCAACTTAAAGAATCAGAAGAAGCAAAGATTAAGATTTCAAACTACAAAGCAATGACGCTGCAAGAAGAAGAGAAAAGGATGTTTACTGCAGAGGAAGGGATCTATATTTTCTCAAAGACTATTACAAGCAACAAAAATGGATCCACTGGCTGAAAGGGAGGCGCTTTTATGGAAGCCTGTGTGGTATAGAAAAAAAACCAGAATTAGACTGAAAAAGAAATTTAAAACTGTTTAATGGATTAAAAGGCAATGTTGGTTTTAAGGTTTGTTTCAAGGATAATGATCTAGAGTTAGAAGTAAGAAAAATACAATTGTATACATATGTGTTTAAATTAGTTAGATGATTCTTTTGTTTTATGGAAATTTGCCTGGCACAGAAATATGAAAGTTAAAAGTGGAGTGAAAAAAAAGAAAACTTGGCTTTATGGATTGTATTAAGGATAAAAAAATATATAATTATGCATATATACATATATGTTTAAAGAGATTAAGAATATATCTTTTGGAATAAGATTGATTTTGAGGGAAATTATGTATTGGAATTGAAAAAACATTGAATTTTTAGACTGGAACTCTGAAGTGCTTAAATTAACTAGGTGATTTTTGTGTATAATAATATGGTTTGATAAGGTATGATAAATAATTGGACGGAATTTGAAATTGGTCTAATGAATTGAAATGAATTAAGATTTAACATTGTTTTTTTTAATTTTTAACTAAGTTAGTTATTATTGGAAGAAGAAATAAATGAGATTGGTGATAAAAAGAGGGATGAGAGAAATTAAGAGCTTGAACATATCTGGAAGAGATACTTGAAGTGATAATCTATTGAAGTAAAACAATATTTGATTATGGTAATTGTAAACTGATAAAGTTTTAAAACAGGTTTAGTCATATAGAAATTTAAGCTAGAAATGGAATATATCAAATCCATTATGTTATTTGGGGGAAATAGAGAGATGATAGTGAATGTACTAAGCTGAGCTGTTTATGTATGCTTTTTACTTTGAAATGTTTGTTTACCCAAACACCATGAGGTGTCTTAAGCACTTTTTGTTAAAATTAAAAAACCAACAAAATATTTTTTTTAAAAAAATGTTCCATGTTGCAGTTACTAGTTGATTATCCAGGTTATCACAGCTTTCAATAGATCGCATCTGAAAGTCAGTTCCTGTTGCTTTTAAGAATGCAAGTATTTCAGTTGAAGTCATTCTTTGATCATCAGGGTTCTCCATAATTTGTACGTAGGCTTGTGAAATATCCTCTTCTGTAGTGTTTAGTTGACTTGTGGAATGATCAATTAGAGTCTCAGTTTGAGATTTTAAGTTAAGCATTTTTCTAACGCTCAATTGATCAGTAGCTTCTTCCTCCATCTCTTTAAATTGTGTGCACTGTTGCATATAGGCCTCTTTAAAGCTAGTCTATTTCTCCTTTATTGTTCCTTGGCCTATAGATTGGTCCATTAAGATTTGAATTTCAGTTTGTGGTTCTGCAAAATGATCTTTAATTTTTCTCCAAGATTTCATGTACTCTGTAGCTTCCAGGATTTTTTCCAATATAAGCTCATAATCAAGCTGTGGGTAGGATTCTTCCATTTCCATGATAAAATAGTCCTTTAGTAGAAGCTATATTTATTAGAAGTCAACAAATATCCACCTCTACAATTTCTAATAAGCAAATTCAGTCCACAGCTGTTTCAAGGCCTTTATCTTTTCCCTTTTATTATCATTTGAAGGTCAAATCCATCTTCAAATACCAAGAGAAAGTACAATTGCAGTAACACTTTTCACCACAAGATGTCCTCAGTAGGATGTAAAATCTTTTTTTCCGAATTAATTTTTTTTATCTCATTAGGAAAATAGAGGGGGAAAAAGCAAATATCTCCAGCATAGTAGATAAAATAATAATAATGTTCTATGATAAGGATTTTTTCAGGGCCCCAAAATATCCCAAAAATTAAATATCCAATAAAAAATTACTGTTTTATAGTTTTGTTCAAAGCTTTTTTTCCCAAGTAGACAAATGCCGCTCTCTTAAGGCAGGGAAGTCATTCAGAGGCTTTTTACAGGAAAATAGTTGGGGCTAAGAGAGGGAAGGAAAGGTCTCACCCAGATTTCTTCGCAGTGGTTCTTCACGCTTAGCTGTTCTTCTGACTTTCGGCTGGTGCAGCTGGGTGATCGGCCATTTTACTGGCCGATCTTTTCTCCAACGGCCCTAAGGAGCTAGCTTGGACCGCGGAAGGAACTGCCACCCTTCCGCAGTCAACGAGGGCCTCCTCGATGGTGGTCGCCCCTCCAGGGTGACTTTTCGACCCGATTAAGGGTCTACCAGTGGAGGGAAAGCAGCTGGCGAAGAGACGGAGCTCTCTGCACGACTGCACATGCTGTGATCCGGAACCGGAAGTCTATATTTTATTTTCTTACTTTACATTTCTTTTTTCTTTTCCTTACTCTTATGATATATTATTTCACATTTCTCTTTTATTTCTGTAAAAGCTTTTTAACAAAAATTAAATGTAAACATGATGTGTTAGTATATGATGTATTAGACTAGCCTGATCCATTAAAGGGCATATAGCTGATATTCAGATTAAAGCTGACAACAGGCACTCCTGGTCAGAGAATTGCTTCCACTTGCCCAGAAAATAAAAAAGGCAAACTGATATAATGGGTGAAAAGATAGCAATTACCAGCTTTCCTTCTAATAAATGTGTTTTTTTGTGACTGGCCACTCCTATTAAGCTGTGGCTGTGTTTGTATTTCTAAAATATTCCTTAAAAGTGATTTCTTATTCCTAATTCTTCAAGATAATATTGGAAGTTGGGAATGTGATATTTGACTATAACTTAACATAAAGCAAAAAAGTAATGTAGATTTAACAGTCAGGGGTTATTAAAGTCCAGGAACTTACCCTTGCTAAACTGGTGCCAGATGGGACTTTATAGGGAACATATTTCCTATAGATGTGCCCAACTCTAGAACATGGAACATCAAACATGCCACCTCCACACATCCAGACCTGTGAGAGAAACAGAGGTTAAAATGTGATCATAACAATTAAACAGCCACTGAGAATAAAAGCAGATACAATATTTAAAATCTTTGAGATTTATTCTGGTTATAATCATTTGTTTCTCTGGAAATAGAAAAAAAGTATTATGTATAGCAAAAATTGAACTAGGGTCTATATGCATATAATAATGTCTTTATGGAGTTGAAATTCACTTTTAATAACTTGTTGCATATATCCATGCAGTATTTTTGGAAACCATTCAGAAATGGTTCGCCAATGTCCTCATTTTGGATTTTTTGCATATTCCCTGTTTAACTGTTGATACTTTACTTCCTGGCTTACCATCTAAATGCTAACCAGGTCTGAATCTGTCTACCGTCTAGATCCAAAAACATCAGCCTGGTGCTATCATTTGATGGAATATCTATCCACCCACTTTTTAAAAAATAAACATCCCTGCATAGATCCTTACCATATAGGGTTAAGGGGTTTGTACTTTTTCATTAGTTATTTTTGAGTTATACTGGGGCATATATGAAAAAGCCATGGTGGCGCAGTACTTAGAATGCAGTATTGCAGACTAATTATGTCTACTGACAACAGTTCAATTCTCACTGACTCAATGTTGACTCAGCCTTCCATCTTTCCGGATTGGTAAAATGAGGACCCAGATTGTTGGGGGCAATATGCTGACTCTGTAAACCAATTAGAGAGGGCTGTAAAGCACTATGAAGTCTAAGTGCTAGCGTTATTGCTATTCTCAGAGAAGGAAATGGCAATCTATACCAGGTTTATGCCAAGAAAGTCAAACTGATATTCATAATTAAGATAATGATAATCTGATATGGTAAAATGAGCCATTCAGAAGATCTGGGGTGAATACAAGTAGTACTGCTGCTTATGATATAATTTAATTAAAGTTGAAGGAATATCCAACTGCTAACATGGCCAGAGGCAAAAGGAATATCTGATCTGCAAAAATGCTCTAACCATCTAGTTTCTATTTTCCATTATATTGGAAGATTAATCTATTTTCTTAGACTTATTTTACACTTCTTTTCTTCCCTCTCTATTTTCTTCAAGATGTATCTTTGAAACTATGAAAAATGTGATCTATCATTTACACACACACACACACACACACACACACACACACACACACACCCCTACGTATATACCCACCACATTCAGGGATATTTTCATTCCTTTGCTGAATATACATATGAATATACAGTACATAGTTTCTTGCTTAACTACTCGAGAGAAATGTGACACATTCCTTTCTGACAGAAAGGATAGTGATCCATTTGGTGAATTTTAGTCAGAATTCCATAACAAGAGAAGAGTCCAAACTCTGTAATGGCAGATAAAAGAAATGTTGCAAAGAACTTATTTTATAAAGTTGTGAATACAGTATATCAGTATGTAAGTGTATATATGTATCTCAACTCCCCAGCATATCTAGATCTATCTACATTTACATCTTGATTTTACTATTCTTATTAATGAATAACCAGAAGAAAGCATAGAAAAACTAAAAATGCTAAAGTAAAAACAATAAAAACAAAAACAATTTGGAACACAACTACTAAATATAAAATGGAAAACAGAATAATACACAATTTAGGGAGTTTTTGTAGGTAACTTAAATGTACTATGAGCCAGTTTAAAATACATTTTTATAGCTATTCCTGTTTATTACTTTCTAAATGATTACAAGCTGTTTTTTTTTTCAAAGATCAACTATCTGTTTACAATATTCTCTGAATTATTAAACAACAATATTAAAATGTAAAAAACAAGCACATTTTCTCTTCCCTCACATATATAATCACAATGTAAAGAGAATTACATTGTGTGAAGTTTCAGATTCAAACTGCAAAACAGAGATTTGGATAAACAAGAGGTAAAATTCAAATGATTTTTTTTATAGCAGTGAATCTCCAGTTAACATAAACAACAATGAAATTATTTTCTTAATCCCACAATTAAATTGAATAAAACATTTTCCATATGTGCTATAGACCTTTTAAAAGGATATTAACCAGCTGATTATTAAAACACAAGAAATATCATTTGCTATATACAGTAGCTATGCAAATCTTCATACTGATTTTTTTAGAATACACAGGAGTGGATATAAAGCACTTTATTTCAGATTGTAAAAGTAGCAGCATCTTTTCCAGCCATTCGTCAGAAGCAGTTTCTTACTGGGTCCACATGCATAGCCACTGGAACATCTTTCAAAGCAGGTGCATTTACTGGATTGACTGGAAAAAGATGTGGCCGCTTAAATAATCTGAAAAATTACTTAGTTATATGCTCTCATGTATTCTGAAGTACCACTGTTTAGATTTGCACAATCGTACTGTGTAGGTTCCTCTGTTTAATAAAAAGATATAGAACACTTTGGTGCATGCGTAAGAAACATGTAGCAACCTTCTACTAGCTGATCTAGGCTTTCATTTGACAGTGCAGTGTCTTACATGCCACATAATTATCAAAATATGTGCTGCTTTTTTGTCTCTCCAAAGTGTAATGGAGGAAAACTTATACTCTTCCTTGAAGTTTATGAGCTCATTTTGAAGAGAAGCTAAACTGTAAATCTTAGTGGAGAATGCTGATGGAAAATTATTTCTACACATCACCATTATTATTGTTGTTATTAATTATAAAAGATCCAGGTTAGCTAACAGAAAAAAAAGAAATACAGAAACAAAACAAAGTTAAAGTAAAAATGTCTGTGTTTGTGTTTGAGTGTGTGTGTGTAAAATAAAGAGACTGAAGAACATTTACCTGATATTTTCTAAAATAACAGAAAATGGCCAATCAATATTCTACTGGATCTTTATTCCACAATATGTTGTACCATGGACCTAAAACATGGGCTTCAGTGAAGGTGAATATATTCATAAAGTTGAAAATCTTTGCATTTTGAAAGATCTTTGAAATCTACTGAAACCAGTATTAGAACAGAATAAAGTATAGGTCCCTGGTGATCAGGATGCATCTGTGTAATTTGATTGTCACTACTTGAATTTTCATAATTTAATAGCTTTCAATGACTTCATTAAAACAAATATAACTCTATATTTGAGATTATGTCAGGAGATATTAAAATCATGCCTGAATAATGCTATCTTAGCCATGCACATAAGTCACCTTTTGATGCTACCTTCACTGTAAACAATGAAATTAATTTTCAGTTCAATTTTCAATTATATTACTACTAGATATTTTGCAAGATTACAAAATTATGTGGACATTTTTTCCATCAACATTTATGCAGTATCTAATCTATATTTAATAAATCTGTATTCTCCTTTTCTCTATATATATATATATTTAGAATGGTTTGTATATATCTGCTAATATGGAGACAACAAAGCAGTAATACCTGAAGGAATTTTGTAAAGTCTGAAAGAAATGGTTAAATATCTTAAGTGTCTTCTCAGATTTAATTCTTCAGTTGTGAATGTTAGGACACTAGGAATTTGGCTGATTTCTTCCCATCTCTCCATCCCCCCAATAATCTTTCTTTTACTATTCAACTAACTTACTTTATTATATGATTTGGCAAAGCAACAAAAACATGCATATCACTAAAGACACAAAGACAAAGACACAAAGTCATTAACTGTCCAATGTGATTCAAACCAATGAGATTTGTACTGAAAAAAACCCCCCACAATTGTGTAAGATTTAGTTTTGCTTTCAGACTCACTCTTGAATTTCCAGAGTAAATACAGGTTCCAATCATCATCATCATCATCTCTTTCTCTCTTTCGTTTTCATATGTTGGAGATTTTGTCCACAATTCTTAAATATTGAACAAGTTGCCATTTCATATTGTCTTTTAGCAGCTACAGTTTGGAAGCCAGATTAAAATTACTAATATATATAATAAAATCTGCCTGCTATACTTTTTAAATATAACTGTGTAATGCTGGATTTTTAAAACAATCATTTAAAAAACCAAAATGAAAAATGTGATAGATTCTTGCATTCCTATTTGGAATTCTTTCCTATTCAAGAATGCCCCAAACTAAGCCTTTCCACCCAAGTTAATGGCCTAGTTCTTCTTTGATCCAAACATCCTTAAATTAGGTGCAAAATTTATAAGGAAATAAATGGTCAGAAACTAAGAATTCTGTTAATTTTTATTACGTCAAAAGTTGCTTTTAAATTGTGACAGTGTTTAATATTAGCTGGAGATGAAATCCCCAGAAATGTAATATAACATACATTAATTATACTAAATTTTAATACATTATTTATATTCTGAAAAAAAAAAGTTATTTGTAAAGTAATGACACAATTGTAAAGCACATTTTAAGCCAAAGACACAATTCTGAAACAATTCTGCTTTAAAAACACAAAACAACCCCAAAACAATGAAAGTGAATTTTTTTATGTTAGTTCCATTTTGAACATATTTAACATGGTATTTTAGCATACTACTCTTTTTTAATCACTTTGTTTTTATTTAACAATTAAACTAATTAAATTAAGCAATGCAACCCTTTCTACAGCTGGTTTTTATAGTTTTTAAAATAGTTTTAATGGCAATTGTTTTTATATAGTTAATTATTTTTCTTCTTAATTCATTGTTGTATACTGCCTAGAACATGTTTTTGTAAAATGGGTAGCTATATAAATATGAGGCATAATACATAAATACTTATTTCATTTCAGTCTTATTCAGGCTATTATCTGAACATTCAAGAGCAAAGACTGCATAGCAGCAGCATTGGTGAACATAAAAGCTCAACCCCCCATTATCTCTAAACCACAGCGTCTGATTGGAATGCATTAAAGATTGAAGACTGGGAGTCATAGCTATTTGTCTGCCCATCTATCCATCTATCCATTTGTTATATCTTTGGTTCTTTAGGCACTGTGACATCATCGTGGAGCGGGTGAAGGAACAGATCTCTGTTCCTAAATCCTGAAAAATCTTCGCTAAGAGCCCAGAAAGGGCTTTGCCGATCCCGGAGAGATTGGTA